GAATTCGATAATCACCGGCAGAAAGTTGCCAAATAACCTTCAACACTGAAAGCGTGACATTGAGAACTGCATCCCAAGTCATAAGGCCAATGGTCAGCAAAACAATTTTCGATAACAAGAGAAGTTTCGTAGACTCACAAAAATCACAAAAAATGGCACCTCGATGTCACTCATTTGTGGAACGTATGTAGAGCCCCTCGAGCGGGGAACTTGGCGAGTTTCACCTCTAGGACAGTTGTCCAGAGCGTATGGATAAAGCTGTACAACAACAAAAAAGAAAATATCGGAGTAAAGTTGTAAGAATCCGAGCTACATGGCGTAAGAATGATCGTGGTGACGTTTTGAACCTCTATACACCATGAATGTATCCGACATGAAAAAAAAAAAAAAAAACCCTTTGGCTTAACGCACCACTTAATCTTCCCCTCGGCAAAGTAAGTATCTCCGTTATTCAAATGTATTACGCATGGGCAGCCGTTGCTTTTTTTCTAAAGATATACAGTAGCAGCAGTGGCGGGTATATCCTTTTATCGGGGAGACTTTGGCGAAACAGTTACGACAAGGCCTTTTAAGTGATCGAGGGAAGGGGGAGGGACTAAAATATTGATTTATGTTCTTTTGAGAGTCGATTCTACTTGGGCCGTCCTATACTGCGCTGTAATCAGAAAACGTTTACGCGGACGCGCGTATATCTCCCGCAAAGTCGTACGGAGAGGTACAGGTATACATGGACAAGGTCCGTTTTGAAAGCTCGCGCGGCTTTGGAATTTGTCTTTAAGTGGGTGAGAGGAGCCGTTTGGAACCACTTAGCGTGGGCTGGATCATTCGATACGTCGGCTGTACCTCCACTGTTGACGCTTAAATGATACATGTGCTTGAAATATACATTGTGGTGGTGTATATGAGGATAGTAAAAAAGAAGGTGTTGAAACAACACGATACGCATTTGGGGAGAAATGATAAAGGATGTCTTGTTTAACGTTTCTTGGGACAGAGGCGGGGGTGATAAATACAAGATCTACTGCATCATTGATTATATTTTTCATGACCAATTGTATCGATTACAATACACTTTGTTATATTTTGTTAATTTATTACGTTTCATTAACAATATGATAAGGTCTACAATTTTTGTTTATTCACTGGTGTAAAATGAATCAAGAAAAGCAAGATACGTCATCTATTGCACCATCGCAATGACACGGCTTTAACGAAGGAATTGTGCACTTGAAAGTCGTTCCAAAAAAGTTGAAATATTTCGGACTCGTCGACTTCGACTTTGAGTGAATTTAAAATATTTTTTACACTATTTTAGTGTTTAGAAGCTTTGAACGACTTGAAAGACTTTTTCAATTCAACAACATGGCATTAATACGTTTTTCCTCCGATTTTTCCCTAACCCATGTAAATGCCTAAAAAAAACCATAATTTGCAAAAAGACCCCACTATAACAGTGAGGTTGATCCCTTATCGCTGCGCATGACAAACTGTATACCAATAAAGTCGTCAAGCTCCAACCCCACAGGGCACGCGATACCCAACTTCTGCCCACCTTAAGCTCGGAAACATCCAGCCGCAGATCAGAAAATTCCGCCGCCAAGAAATTTCACACGCACTCACGAGCATTTTCCGGTACAGCGAGTGTGTGCCGCATGCGGTGACGAGCGAAAAAAGGGGAAAAGCAACGAGGGATTGGAAAAATCGCCAGCCGCGACGATGGTATACGAAAAAAAAAAAAAAAAAGATATGTTGCAGTGGAATGCCAACGGTGCGACGGTGGGCAGCTCGTCAAGGTCGTCTTGGGCGTTAAAATCTCGAGCTCGAGCCTCCACACACGGCGAAGTGGAAAAGGAAAACGACTCGTCCCCTAGGCTCTTTTTCCTAGCGTCTTTACTTTTTTTTTGTTTTTTTGTTTTTTTCCACCCCAAAGGGAAAAACGGGTTCGCATTCCGAGTCAGTGCGCTCCTTTATCTCTCACCGAGACGATGACTGCTCTCCTGCTGGTGTGGCATCGTCTGTTGTGTGTGTATAAGTGCACACGCGTGCTTGGACGAGACGAGACGTCAGCTGGGAAGAACGAGAAAACGAGAGTCTGGATTCCATTTGTACGTGGGTTTTATTTCAGGAGCAACGAGTACACGCGGGAGAGGTGGCTCTGCGCTCTCACGCCTACGAGAGCTATATTTTTTTTTTTTTTTTTTTTTCTGACGTAGCGCAAGGAAATAATATTTCGATCGACACACGTGTCATGCTTGCCTCAATGTTTTTTTTTCTTTTTTTTTTTTCGATAAAGTCGCGTTTAGTGGCGCGTAAGACGTTGATTTTCCGCGCGTGTGTGTACACGGGAGGATTTGCCGGGACTTTCGCCGGGAAATGAAACTTGTTTCCAACCACTTGTCTTCTTTACGGTAATTTGTGTCTTACGCGGGTTGCACAATCGCGAGCCGAGCGGTTCGACTGGAAAACATCCCGTTCGCGGAAGGAAATCTACGTGTTTTCACGCGTACACCAACCTCGTAATGTATTATGCACTTTGTGTAACTTTGTGCACCTTAAAGTACACACACGAGGGTACGGGGAGAAAAATAGGTGTATTGTAAACATAAGTACTGTTTCTGTGGTTTTTCCTCAAATCAATTCATCGCTGAACGAATTTATCCTTTTGCCTTCCCGCGAACAGAGCTTTTGAATCGAGTTTCTGAGAGTTTAACCACCATTGTGTTCGAGGAAACTTTTTTTTCATCTTTCCTTTTTTTTTTTTTTATTTCGTTCCCATGTTCTCTCCACTTACAAAATTAGCAACGATAATATTTCAATAGTTGCCACGTTCCAAAGAAAAAAAATAATCACTGCATCAATTAAAAACCTGTGTTGTACCAAAGAAAAAAAAAAAAAAAAAGAAGCATCTTGAGTCACCCTGAGCACACACGTGCGTCCAACCGAGCACTCCTCCTACATAAATCCGATCGTTTGCTGCGGTGCAAAGCTTCTTTCGTTCCCTCGTGACTCTCTGGAGCCCAAGTCGCGCGGAACGACAAAAATATCCTCTTCGCTGACGCTTATTCTCGTACCACTTCCTTTGCGCGGGTATTTAATATATATGTATGGACGCGCGTGTGCGTTGTTCCTGCGCTTTTTTGTAAATACGGAGATCCGCTTCCAGTTTGTTTTTTCGTACGAAGAGCTTTAACTTGTGGGGGTGGGGGGGAGCTTCGAGAGCTTTTATTTGCCGGAGGCTGCGGTGTCTAAGATGACGTCCAAGCGTGTGCTGCACGTTCGTATGGATTTTTAGCAGAAAAATCCAATGCAAGAAGCCTACACGACGTGAAACATCTGTGTTACAGATGTTTGCTACTTCATATACGCAACGTAAAAAAAAATAAAAAATAGATTTTTTTACCAAAGTTAGTGTGTAATTTTGATAAATTGTTGATTTGACTTTTCCAAGTTCATAAACATTACTGCAATGTTTATTGGGATACTGACTTCAACTATACCGTAACTTTTGAAGCTTTTTTCCCCCACTTCAAAGTGACGTGGAAGTCGAAATGCAAGAGTAAAGTTCAACGAGCGAGGCACACATTAACACACAATCATGTGTGAAGTAAAACATACTCATGCAACTTTACAACGTCAGATAGTAGAGTGCGATAGTGAAAAAACGCTACATATTCCTATGTGATAGTTAGGCCTGAATTGTATGTCTCCAACGGGAGATGTGTGGCTTTCTGGTGTAAGATCAGCTGAAAACCCATCAATATACAGTTATACCCCCATACTTATTGCGTGGCGAGTCAATGCGATTTGTTGTTAGTTTCATTACAGTGGGAGCTTTTAGTCGGTAACTGAGTACGATGATGGGAACCTTTGGAGTCTCCCTTTTTCGTCTCGAAAGAAATGCATGCGTTTTCTAGGGTAAAAACTACTCCCTTCAACTGGAGGGACTTTCAAATAAAATCTCGAATAAAATGTGTACTCGTAGAAACATAAATCCTTACAACTTCCAATTGTCATCATCCAACTACCAAGTTTGTACTTACCAACTTCAATAACTATGAGTTTACTCTCACCTTACCACGGTGAACATAAACCCGGCCTGGATTCAAAACCTCCAACACCCAGCCATAAAAAAACAAACACTTGCAATAAAGTAAGATCCAAAAAAACTCATATCACAGACGCACGCAACCGATGAAAAGTAATTTAACGCACGCCACTTGACTCCTCATAAACTGCTGGGACAAAACATAAAAATACCCATGCAGTGAACCCACAGCAGTAGCGTCCAAACAGATTACCTCCTTTTTTTCATACGGCCCACAATCTAGCCTCGCCCTGTAATAAAAAAACAATAAAAAAAACAAAACAAAAAAAAAAACTTCAACCCACTCCAACTGCAGCAAAAACCACCAAGCCATTACCTGTACATTACAGTATATGTGCGCGAAGCACAAAGTGGGCCCTTCTCCCACTCTTGTCCGCAAGAGTCTCGGTCAGCTCTCCCCGGCAGTGCACCTGTGCAGCGCAGCCTTTCCACCTGGACTCCAGCTCGCCGCCTCAGTCGGGCCCGTAACTCGCGAGCGACAAGGTGTCTCTCTTGCTACTACCGTCCCTCTTTCGCTCTCTCATACTTTCTCGGTGCGTCGCGCTGAAGCCGATTTTTTCGGAGGCCCACTCGGTATTGCTTTTCCACTTGCGACCGGTAGTCCATGGAAATGTAAGCGGTGAGGTGCTGGGGACGACTTTTGTGCGACTTTGAACGACAGACAGGAAAAAAAAAAAAAAAAGGGGGAGAGAAAAAAAAACGGAAAGGGGTGGGGTAAGATTTACACGGCTGCCCGGTGCTCTCGGTGGAGAGGAATTCGAGGGCAGCCTGGTATTTTTCGTTGTACAGCCGCTGTGCAATTTGGCCGTCGCGCGTGAGTAGAGCCGAGCGTTGACAAGGAGAGGCGAAAGTGCGCTGCTGGGTGAATAAGCGAGGAGAAGAGGAGGACGGAGACTCGGAGAGATGGATACCGTTTTCGAGAAGATGGGCAAGATCAATTTGGTAATGTGTCCCTTTTGGCTGATTTTTTTTACCGATCGGTTTTGTGAGTGACGCGTTGGGACGACCATTTTTATCTTTTTTTTTTTTTTTTTTTTTTTTTTTTTTCAATTATTCCACCGAAGGGTTATCGAGAAGAGCTTTTTTTAAAGGGTTTTTTAAATCGCTGTGGTGGCACAATAAGAAAATTTCTCATGTTGCGATGAGAATTTTTATCACAGCTGCTCTGAATGAAAAACAAAATCGGCAATAGAGTATAAGCGTGCAAATGACTGCTACTTCAGAGAATGTCCAAGAAATCATATAGTGACACCAATGTATTGTCAGATGAAAATTTTATTTTAACGATAACATGTCCTGATTCTCGTAATAAATATAGAAAGGTTTGCTAAAAACTAACATTATTTTTTTAATCTCTGGAAAAAATTGTGGTTGTTTAAAACAAAAATTTCACTTTGCTCGTCTATTAATTTGAAGTAAAAATATTGTTAATTTGTTTTCAAGCTCTTGTTGACCTTGAACAATCCAATTCAACAACTTCAAGCTTCTTTTTTTTTTTTTTTTTTTTTTTTTTTGTTTAAAATCAAAGTCTCCGAACGATGTAAAGTCGCATGAAATTAAATCCAGATATAAAGTAGCAAACATTTTTATCAATGAGTGCATTATATACATGGCAAACCGGCGCTCATTACCTATAACTTTTTAAACCCAACACGATTACGCGATCCCAGATATGATACGAAAATCTTTTTCGGCGTCCCAACAGAGATACAATAAATAATCGACAGACACCGTGAAATTGTAAAAGAAAAAAATAATTATCTTCGTACGAGCACGCACCGATAAGACTTTAGAAATAAAAACAAAACAGTAAAATGAATAAACCGCTTGGTCTAATGGACTACTGCGTGGAATTCAAATTCACCTGCGGGGGGTAAATTAACTCAGAGTTATTCAATTGTGATTCGCAACCTAACAGCTTGAATACATCAACTCCGGTGTCTTGGAGCACGAACTAGGCCTCGCCTGCTTTTGCTCAAAAAAAAAAAAAAAAAATTAGGGCGAGCGAAAGGTAGTTAAATACCAATTTACCAAATTTCTATACATATAGATACATCGCGATTTCCGTCTTTGAAACACTTTTACAGCACAGCCAAGACCAGTGTTTGTCTATTCGTGCCAAGACACTTCGGAAGCACTCATCGTTTTCAGAGAGCCACCGCTACTTCTTGCATACGTTATTTGCTCTTGGCGATCGGTTTTTTACGCGTACGTATACGTACGCGCCTGTACGTGATGCGCGTCTCCCGAAAGTGGCACGCGCGTTTGGTCGACTTTTCTCGTTTTTTACTTTCTTCGAGCGAATGCACTTTGCCGTTGCGGGACGATCTCGAGAGATCTTCTGGAAATTTTTGGCTCGATTGTTTCGTTTTTGGGGCGATTTTCTGTGCTTTTGGGCAAAAACTCTGAAAAAAATGGTCTCTTACCTAGAAATGTCTGTCCAAATGACGAGTACCGGGTACATGTGTTGTACTGTACCGTCGATCATTTTTTTCTATTTTTTGTTTTCAACGAACATCATCTACTTTCGCAAATAACGAAATCAGGGCGACCTCGTCGCAATCAAAGTCCCATTTTCTAGATTGGCACGATTTTGATCGAGGAAAACTTGAGCAAATAAGTTTGAGAAAAGAAGAGCGCAGGTATAACGACTTCCATTACAACAACCAGGTTAAAATGCATCCATAACGCGGAAGCGAGTAAAAGCACACGAGAGTGTTTACTTGGACCCGAGAGTTTCTCAATGATCCATTTTCCTGGTTTCTCTGCTAGTGAACACGTGTATGCGACTTGAAATGTTTCTCAATACCGCAACTTTGCTGTCGTTTTTGCCTAAAAACTTTACCATTATTTTCTGGAAAATATGTTCATTAAGTATACCTATTGCGTTATCAGTAGACAAAAAAATTAATTCCAGGTATAATAGTACATTTTTCTTTTTTTAGAGAAAAAATTGCGTCACTAAGTGTTGAAAAATTGATAAAATAATTATGGCCAAGTTTGCAAACTCTGAAAATTCAGGGTATTATTAATATTTTTAGTGGTTGCCATTTTCCTCGGTTACTTAGATTTTCAAAATGTGACGCAAAAGATCGTGAGTTTCGTTTTAATTCCAAGTGCTCTTGTCTTGTGATTAGACCCAAAGAATTAACGGATCAATTGCGCCGTAAAAATATCAAGAAATCACTCGGCTTCTGTGAGCACAGTGAATGTATTTTTTCATAATTCTGATTTACGGGAGCGTAAAAAAAAATTTATCTTCACTTTTACGCGTACGAAACTCCGACATTGAATCCAGGTTAATTGGGATAACTATACAATCTCCGATTTTTTGGGCGTTTTATTTTGCCCTGATTTCGAGGCGTGTTGTTGTGACGTGAAAATTATGCGTCAAAATATTATGATCACAAAAAAAGTTTTTAATTGATCGATAAATCGTTTGTTTTCTCCTTGATCCAACGCAGTTTGTTACTACCGGTAAAGAATTACACCAGATCAATAAACCGATACCACGAAGTAAAGTATTACGACTCTATCCTGATTCAGGGCATTAAATCAAAATGAACCTGACTGACGTATGTGAGATGAGTCGTAGACTCGCAAAGTGAGATCGGCACTGCAGATTTATTAATATTATTAATAATTCACGCGGCACGTGGACACGTATACAACCAAAATGTGGCGAAAATTTTTTACCGATACTCGTGCAATCCGGCATAAGTTTACGCTTTATACGAGTGGTGGCATTTCTTGTGATCTCACGGCTCAATTGATCAAACGAAAAGTTGATATGTTGGTCTACTTGGGGAGTATTGAAATCATGTTTTCTTCTTTTAGTTTTCCAAGGCAAAAGTGCCGATTTCCGAGAGATCGGAGGACTGTTGGGATTAATCACGTGCACCTGTGGTGAAAAAAATCTTACGATTGAGGTAACACAGTTTTTCGACCGCGTTGAGATCTGTACATGCATTTGCTCGTGGAACTGAAACTCGTTTAGGGCGTGAGTTTAACGTTAAAGGGGCTCTTGATCTTTGTGTTTTGGAGCTCGTGGGAAATGGGAGCAGCACTATTTTCCTTATGGGTTTGCCATTTTTTTCTTTTTTGCCCGCATGCTTATGTATCAGGGAAAGCTTTCACTTTGTCGGTTATTAGCACATATTATTCTACAATTTATCCAAGCCTCTGACGGAAATATATTCAGTAGTTGAGCTTCAAATTTACATTACCAGTTCAAGCTTAATCGAGTAACTTATTTAAATCATCGAAGGGAAAAAAAACTTTTTTTTTAATCTTCAAAGTCAATGATTTATTAACGTCTGTATCAGCTCTACTTGCCGAACCATTTTTTTTTAGAGAGATCCTATAGATAGATGAAAATATATGGTTTTATTAATATGTGATTGAAGAAAATTTCACTGATTCATTTATTGTTCAGTTAAATTGAAAATCACAAATAAGAATCTTGAAATGATCCCAGAATCACACTGAGATAAAATTTCTTTCTCCAATCAGTTGTGATCTTTAAAACATGTTGTAACGAGTTAAACGTCCTACATACAAATTTCTATGTCCAGTGTTGACTATGATCTGAAAAAAAGAAGTTAAAGTATAAATTTTGTATTTTCTAGAACCTTTTTTTTTCTTCTTCGTTGACAAATTACGATTCCAATGAGATCTTTAAATTATCCTGAGCTCATTTATCTTCGAAACGGTGCTGTAAACGTGTCCCAAAAGGTATCTTTCTTGGATCTTGAATTTCTTCGCGTAATGATGATTAAATAACTAGTAATGGGCGAATCTCTTTGAAAAAATGAACAAAACGTGCCCACAGTCCCACAATTTGAGGCGCATCGATTCATCAATCGACTGTCATTTCATTTCAGGAAACGCAGCAAATCAAACAAAACACGTCTCTATACGAAATCACCGCGCGCTTCTTGCTCGTACATTCAACTCGTTCTTTGCCGCAAAAATTTCCCGGAACACTCGAAAGATAAGCTCCATTTTTTATCGCTGCACCAACGTCTTATTTACAAACCTCGTTCTGCAGATTCAGACACGTATGAAAAAAAAAAAATAAAAAAATAAAAAAATGTCATCGAAATTCCTCGCAAAAAATATCACAAGATTGTCTTCCACTCACGCGAAATCTGCTTCGTTCTTTCGCCGCGTTTAAAATTGCATGGATACTCCTCGTTGCAAAGTCAATAGACTCATCAGTTCAGGTTCTTCCACGCTGCGATCGAGTTGTACGCGTGAGTTACTTTCCCGTAGCCCGCGTAGATATACTGGATGCAAGACCACCCCTTTGGGTTCTCTTTCTGACGTAGTCGTTGAAAAACCGGACGCTCATCTTTTCCTTTCTCGTTGCATTTTTTTTTCACGCATATATAATATCAAACGCCACGCTGTTCTGCGTCTTTCCGTCACCATGAGAAGCTTTTGTCTTCTTTTCAGGAGAATTGGCCATTATCATAGAGTCAGGGGTCACTAATTGTCTTGCTACTAATGTCAAATGGGGGGCCGTTGGATTTAGTATCATAAGAGTGGGATGTGGGATATCGAGTTTTCACGCATTGTGCTCATATCTACATATCGAATCTTTAATGCGAATGCTTTTTATACTTTTTATTGAAATTCATACCAGTAAATCATAGAAATGGAAATAGTGAGGCTTAAGATTATGTTGAAGGTCGTTTACCAACTCTAATGTAGATAATGTGGTACTTGCTGTTAAAAATTTCCAGAATACCTACTATCGACTGTGTAAATAATATATAATACTTTAATGCAAGAGGATGGGGTAAATGAATAATTAGAAAATACTGTGATCGTGATGTATCATTAGTGAGATGGAAGAAGAAAAAAATCTTTCAATACCTATCGTCCTGTTGGATCGAAAAAGCAATACTTACTCGGTTTTTTTTTTTTTCTTGGTAGCC